TTCATTCTAGCATTAAGAGACTGCTGCTTCCATTTAGCTAATAATTTCTTAAGATCATATCTATCATTGCAAGCAAAGATAGCTCTAGCAGCTTCTTAATTCATAACATAACCCTCAGGAACAACAGGTAATTCATAATCATTGGGAGAACTTTCATCATCACTATCATCAATAATAGCATCTTTAATAATTTCATTCCCCCTAACTCTAGCAAGTTGTTCATCAAGAAATTCACCTAATGGCAAAGTAGTATCACGCACAGAAGTAGTTTCATCATGCATAGCAGAAGTGGCATCATCAATAACATGCGACATATCAGAATTCATAGCAGTAGCAGGTTTAGGTGTCGCAAGCTTACTAATAACGGAAGGAGAATCTAGTGCAGAGCTAGATGGCAGTTCCTTACCTCCCCTCGTAGTTGAGGGCAAAATAGTAGTTCCGTCGTCTTTCAAGTTCTTCATAGTGATCAACAGATATAAATCCCAAGTGACTCAGAGAATAGAGCTATGTTCCCCGGCAACGGCGCCAGAAATTAGTCTTGATAACCCACAAGTGTAGGGGATCGCACCAACTTTCGAGGGTAAAGTATTCAACCCAAATTTATTGATTCGACACAAGGGGAGCCAAAGAATATTCTTGAGTATTAGCAGTTGAGTTGTCAATTCAACCACACCTGGATAACTTAGTATCTGCAGCAAAGTATTTAGTAGCAAAAGTGGTATGATAATAAAAGTAACGGTAGCAAAAGTAAAGATAATAGTTTTTGGGTTTTTGTAGTAGTTGTAAAAGTATCAATGGAAAAGTAAATAAGCGAAGAACAATATGTAAAAAGCTCGTAGGCAATGGGTCAGTGATGGATAATTATGCCGGATGCGATTCCTCATGTAATAGCTATAACATAGGGTGACACAGAACTAGCTCCAGTTCATCAATGTAATGTAGGCATGTATTCCGTAAGTAGTCATACGTACTTATGGAAAAGAACTTGCATGACATCTTTTGTCCTACTCTCCCGTGGCAGCGGGGTCCTAGTGGAAACTAAGGGATATTAAGGCCTCCTTTTAATAGAGAACCGAAACAAAGCATTAGCACATAGTGAATACATGAACTCCTCAAACTACGGTCATCACCGAGAAATATCCCGATTATTGTCACTTCGGGGTTGTCGGATCATAACACATATATTCATGAAAACATAATAGGTTCAGATCTGAAATCATGGAACTCGGGCCCTAGTGACAAGCATTAAGCATAGCAAAGTCATAGCAACATCAATCTCAGAACATAGTGGATACTAGGGATCAAACCCTAACAAAACTAACTTGATTACATGGTAAATCTCATCCAACCCATCACCGTCCAAAAAGCCTACGATGGAATTACTCACGCACGGCGGTGAGCATCATGAAATTGGTGATGGAGGATGGTTGATGATGATGATGGCGATGAATCCCCCTCTCCGGAGCCCTCAACGGACTCAAGATCAGCCCTCCCGAGAGAGATTAGGGCTTGGCGGCGGCTCCGTGTCGTAAAATGCGATGAAACTTTCTCTCTGATTGTTTTCTCTCCGAACGTGAATATATGGAGTTGGAGTTGAGGTCGGTGGAGGTCCAGGGAGCCCACGGGATAGGGGGACGCGCCCTATAGGGGGGGGGGGGCGCCCCCCTGTCTCGTGGACAGGGTGTGGGCCCCCTGGTGTATTTCTTTCGCCCAATAATTCTTATTAATTCCAAAAAGTGCCTCCGTGGATTTTCAGGACATTCCAAGAACTTTTCTTTTCTACACATAAAACAACATCATGGTAATTCTGCTGAAAACAGCATCATTCTGGGTTAGTTTCGTTCAAATCATGCAAGTTAAAGTCCAAAACAAGGGCAAAAGTGTTTGGAAAAGTAGATACGTTGGAGACATATCAGTGGTGGATGCGGTGCTAGGATAATAGAGACACCCAAAGATGCGGAGACCGTCATAGGATGGTGGTGTACCGAAGAGAAGGTGGTGAGGAGCGTAATTCCACCAAGGACGACACGGACGAATGTTAACTAAAAGAATGGCGGTGGCGAGAGCATCAGGACAAAACCGAGCAGGCACGTTGGAGTGAAAGAGTAACGTGCGAACGCAGTCATTAAGAGTGCGGAGAATGCGCTCGACACGGCCGTTCTGCTGTGAAGTGTAAGGGCAAGTCAGACGAAAGATGTTGTCGTGAGAGGCAAGAAGTGTGCGAAGGGCGACGTTGTCAAACTCTTCTCCGTTATCAATTTGGAATGCAAGTATGGGGCGACCGAACTGGGTGGTGACATAGGAATAAAAGGCGGTGAGTGTGGCTAAAGTATCGGATTTACGACGAAGAGGAAAAGTCCACACATAGTGAGAATAATCATCTAAAATCACCAAGTAGTATAGATAGCCCATGTTACTCGCAACGGGAGACGTCCAAACATCACTATGAAGCAACTGAAATGGAAAAGTGGAAACTGAAGTAGACGCGCTAAAGGGAAGACGCACGTGCTTGCCCAAACGACAAGCCTCACAAGTATGCTCGTCGAGCTTATTACATGAGAAAGAAAAACTCCTAAGAATCTGACGCAAAACGGCGGGGTTGGGGTGGCCCAAGCGAGCATGCCAAAGATCGACACTGGCGGCGAGGGCGACGGGTGTGGAAGTGGAGGCGCCGGCGTGCACGGGATAAAGCTCATCAAGGCTATCACATCGGTGAAGCACCATCCGGGTACGGGCGTCCTTCACAGAAAACCCAACACCGTCGAATTCAATAGTAAGAGGATTCTCACGAGTAAGACGACGAACGAAGACTAAACCAGTGACTAAATCAGGTGAAACAAGGACATTAGACATAGTAATAGGTGTAGAACTAGAAGGAAAACTAGTGCTACCAACATGTGTGATAGGTAAAGAGGAACCGTTGCCAACGATGATACGAGTGGGAGTGTTAACTGAAGTGAAAGAGGATAGGTTACGGGGATAAGCTGTCATGTGCGCAGTAGCACGCGAGTCCATATACCAGTCGCCTCCATCTCCGTAGTTACTCGGCGCCGGCGCCGAGTGTAGGGCGGCCGGGAGGGCGGGGTCCCACGGTGCAGGAACCGGCGGCGACGGCTAGCCTTCATTGGGTGGTGCCTGAGCGGGCGCGCCGTAGCTGCCGAGAGGTGGCAGAGCGAGCGGAGCACCGTAGGGCTGGTAGGGGGCGTTGAGGAACGCCTGGTGGCCCACTGGACAAGGACCAAGGAGACCCGATGCGGGCGACATGTGGGCAGTTGCCCCGGTGTCGATGTACCAGTTGCTGTTGCCGGTGTAGTTGTTCGGTGATGCGTCCGGATGCATGTTGTAGACCAAGGAGCTAGCATGCATGTTGTAGATCGAGGAGCTAGCCTGCATGCCCGCATGCATGGTGTACATTAGGGCGCCCACCTGCGTGTCCGCATGCATGCTGTACGTCGGGGCACCAGCCTGCGTGCCTGCCTGCATGTTGGTGCGGGTGAGCGGCGATCGGGCGACGCAAGCGGGCGGGGCTGGAGTAGCGAGCGCGGGCGTGCGGTGAGATCGGGCTGCTGGATGGATAGGGCGACGACTGGCTAGCGATCAGGTTGGAACGGCGATGCGGGCGGGCGGGTTGGAGCGACGGCTGGCGGGCAGCGGCGGTGGCGGCGGCCAAAGACGCTGGGGAAGCGCGGGCAGGGAGAGGGAGGGCGGCGGCCGGCGCGGAGGACGCGCGAGCGGCGGCGGCTGGGTGGAGGCGGCGGCGGCGATGCGGAGGAGGCGCGCGACGGGGGCGGAAAACTAAGGTTAGAACCCGGAAACTGATACCATGTAGACAATAGTTTGCAATACAATGGACGTAGTATTGATGGGTGCTGGTACACACATATATATAATACAGGTAAGGCCTCTATCTCAACTATAAAAGATTAGGAGATGGGCCACTACTTTAATAAACGTGTAATACAAAATACATACTTAACACTACGGTTTAGGGTCGGCCCGAGGGATTCCAACGTTTGGACCCGTTCGACCCTATTTGATGAGCCGTGTTGAAGACCTAAACGTGTCACATTTGGAGGTGACGAGTCACGTTGGAGATGTTGTACAACCACGGGGGTCGTCGTGTTCCTCGTGTGAACCAACCGTTCCAACAAACAACAGAGCATGCCTTGTTGGCAGCAGCACGAGCTCATTAAAGGTGGCGTGAAGAAATCACGGAAGAGACCACCACGCTCCACGTTTCGTTCCGCCATCAGTCGGTTCAGCCACCCTCCCGCCAACGGCCGCTCTCCCATTTTACAATTACTGCACAAGCAAGCTGAGACTGAAATTTCGCCACGGAAGTAGTACTAGCATTACTGGTGAAGAATTGGCGAATTTGCGATCTGCGAAAGAACCAGCGAGAAAACGACGGAATCTGAATAAATAAAGAAAGGCGACACGGAATCGGAATTTGTCTTGCCTTGGGAGGAACAAGAACAAGCCAAGACAGAAACGGAATAAACGAGCCGTGCCACTTTTGAGAGGAAGCTAATTTTGTTGGCTTCTTCTTCCTCCTCAGTCGTTACGCTTTCTCGGCGGTTTCCGTTGGCTGCGAGCTAAAGCCGGAGCCTGCCACCCTAATTTTAGCTCCTCCTTGTCCAAATTGGAGGTTACCGGAGGGCGAATCGTAGCCCGGTTCGGCTGTTCGGCTGGGTTTGGCTACACCCCTCCTCCTGGTCTGCTCGATTCAGGCCATGGAGATATGGCTAGCAAAGGTGCAGGGGGGTGGAGCTCGCCGTGTTTCTTGATGCGATTTCTGCAAGTTTCAGACCCTCCTCGCATCAATCTCGGGGTCTAGAGCCCGAAATTTTCAGTTCTAGTCACTAAAATTAGAAATTTGTTTGCCACCTTCTTGGCGATCCTAGGACACTTGAGCCGCTGATTGGGTTCCCCTTGTTTCTGCCGTTCGCATGCGGCAGGATTCAGATGTTCTTTGGCAAGGTAGGTCAAGTTAAAGGAAGATGCCCAAGGCAGGAGACTGTAGCGGCGGCGGTGGCGGTGGCCGGAGGGACCTGCCTCTGCTTTTCCTCAGGGTGGGCGCTGCCATCACGCTCTCCATCGCTGGGCTCTTCTTCTCGCGGCTGCGGTGGCAGCGCCGGCCTCGGCCCCGGCACCTCCTGCTCCCTCCTCCTTCAGGTACCCAACCATGAGCACATGCATGCCTTGCTTGCAAGCTAGATATGCTTTCTTTATAAAATCTTCCTTTCTAAGATTGATTATGCCTCAGTTATGTCTTGTGCACCGCAAGATTGAGAATTTTCTTGTCTATCGAGCAATCAACAACAGCTCTGCCTCTTCATTTAGTACAGTAGTTTTTTTTTACCACTAAATAAGAAAAACAGGCTAAAAAGTGATGCATATTGAAAAAAAATTGGTATGTTTTGATGTGTTTGTAGAGCCAGATGATGCCCGTGGCATGAAGGGTGGTGGTGGAGGGCTCAAGGATGAGCTAAGGATCCTCAAGAATGTAAGAATCTGATTGCACAAAAACATGATTGCTGTAATTTTTGCACTCGTAGAGGTGTAACCATACCTAAGAAGGATGAGCTAATAGGTTAACAGAGAATGGTCATCCTGAGTATTTATAAATTATTATGATCAGAAGGTGATACTTAGAATTCTTGGATGTTTTAGTTATTGATTGGTAGTCTTTCAACCTTTTTCAGGGAATATAATTCTTTTTCTAGATTGTTAGTACATATAAACGTCACAAAAAAAGTCTGAATGGTAAGCATTAGGCAAGGCAAACCACGGGCTCGTTGGAAGATGGTAAAAACATAGTGTGATGCTTTCGGGGTTAGGCTACACATTCTTTTTAATATCCCTTTCCTTAATGTGTTATATCAAATTCGCCGTAACACGTGAATCTTAAACTGTATTTAAAGGATGACCTTTTGTTTACTATGAACATGTTGCTGGTAGTTCATCTTCCACGACCGTCCTAACAAAATACTCACTCTGTCCCATAATATAAGAGCGTTTTTTACACTACACTAGTGTAAAAAACGCTCTTATATTATGGGACGGAGGGAGTAGTAACTTATCCACAAATTAGTTATTGCCTTTACTCGATATCATTCTTCAATCAGTTGAAGGAAAACTGAAATATGCCCATTTTCATTTGTAGACTTTCATTTATGTTTGTGCTTTGTGCAGGAGGACACCAAGGCGAAAATAATCAGTGGGAACTCTGTGCACACAACCACTACCACTACAACGACCACCACCACTGCCTCGATGTCACTTCCCCCGAAATGCCGAAACATTGATGATGATGATGATGATGAAGGATTTCTCCTTCCAGAATTCAATGAAATGGTTATGGAAGAATTTGGCAGAGACATAGGCAATATCGCAAGCTCACCTGCAGCGAGAGTAAGGGAAGATGCATCTAATGAGCATGAAATTTTCAAGCTCAGAGATTTGGTTAGATCTCTGCAAGAAAGGGAAAAGACCCTGGAGATACAACTTTTGGAGTTGTATGGTTTGCAGGAGCAAGGTGCTGCAGTTAGGGAGCTTGAGAACCAACTGAAGATAAGCAATGTCGAGTCACAGCTATACTCCTTGAAGATCGAATCCTTGCAATCTGAAAATCAGAGGTTACAAACACAGTTGTCTGAAAGCTCAAAGTTAACTTCGCAGCTTGAGATGACAAAATCAAAATGCAAGCTGTTGAAAAAGAAGTTGAGACTGGATGCGGAACAAGCAAAGGAGAAAATCACTTCCCTTCAGAACATAGTTGATTCTTTTCAGTGCAAGGAGATTATTGAGGGAGAAGTTGATGGTGAGGCTGAGAAGAAATTAAAGAGGCTAGAGGAATTGGAAAATGAGGCAAGAGAGCTTAGAGCTGCAAATTCAAGGCTGCAGCAGGAGAATTCACACCTTAGTAGGCGATTGGAGCTCACACGCCTACCGCCTGTACCCAAGTCCCACAATAGCATGGAGGTAAATCTTGACTGTTCTTGGGCTGCACTGTAACTAACACTTGATGTGAAAAAATGAATCGTCAAATGGAGGAGGTATTCCTAAATAGAAAATGATATTCTTGATGCTTGTTCTGCCAAACAGAAACTGCATAATTTTTTTTCCACAGATCTATTGCTTCGGTGTGTTATTGATCATTTGTTGCTCTGTCACGAATTAAGCAAGTAAAAATAATTGCAGGTAAAAACATCAGAACAAGTTGATGGGTTGAAGCAAGAAAACGAGAAGTTGTCAAAAGAGGTTGAACAACTGCGGACTGACAGGTTTGCAGATGTTGAGGAGCTGGTATATCTTAAATGGATCAATGCTTGCCTGCGGCATGAGCTGAAGAACAAGGGGACTCCTGGTCCTGGGGCACAAACTACAGCACAGGATCTAAGCAACACCCTAAGCCCCAAATCTGAACAGACAGCCAAGCAATTGATAATGGAGTATGCCAATGTTGGTGCGGACGAGAGAAGTTTAAGCTCCATAGAATTTGGCTCAGAGTACGCTTCTTCAAGGGCATCATCAAGTGGCGAACCCGATGACACATCGACCGACATGTCATCAATCACAACGCCCAGAAACCCGAAGAAGAAAGAGAAGAAGAAGTTTTTCTCTAAGCTACGGAAATTGGTACTGGGAAAAGATAAGGAAAAGAACAATTTCCCTACTTTGGAGAGGAGAGTGTCTATTTCGAGCTGTTCCTTTGATGACTTCACTGGAAGAGAGTCGCATGATAGCTATTCTTCCTTCTTGACAGAAGGAGCCAATCAGCAACATGACGATCGCAGCTGCGGTACGCCTTCTTTTGGCAGCCAAAGATATAGCACAGCTGAAGCAGGAGATGGAAGATACCAGCGTCATGGGGTAAAAAAGAATGCATCTTTCGGATCCGGAAGATTCAGTGAACATGGTTCTCAGTTTGATAGCGGTGAGGCCACAATACCAGAAGACGTCGAGATCCACAAATTCGCCGAGGCACTGATTACATCAAGGACAGGTTCTATGTCATCCAGAAGGACCTTATCCTTCAGCTAACTGATAAAACCAGTAGCTAGGAGTCATGTGATGCTGACCATCTGTCTGGATGTATATTTTTGCCAGATCCTGATGGTGAAGTGATAGGAGATGTTACTGGAATGAAGTATCCAACACTTCATTATGTGAAATGTACAATCATGTATAATAGTATAGTGCAATAACCTTTAATCTCAATCTTTGCCATTCATTTGGCTTGTTTGTGCTTCTTCACTGTCGGTTTTTTTTGTCGTTATTTGCAAAGTATTTTTGATAAAAGGGCATTTTTATTAATTCAAAATAAATGTAGCATCAAGTGGATAGAAACCATGATGAGCAACAGCCGGCATCTGCATAATTAAGATGCACACCAACACTCTGACAAAAGATAATAAAAAACGACATATGTAGAGTCATATAGGACTGACGCTATGCCTATGTCGAAGGAGGTGGCGGGCTGATCATGGACCACGTATGAAGCGAAGTGCGTACATCGAAAAATAACCTGCAGAGGAGAAGAGTTTTTGCCATTAAAATTCAAATCATTTTTATATAGCCAAAGCGACCATAATAAAGCATACACTCTCACCCTTATTGGCGTTCTGAATCTATTTGGAATACCATCCAAATAATGACAAAAATACTGGCAACACTTGTGAGCGGATAAAAATTGAACAATATTAGCATGAATAGAACGCGCAAATTTGCACCGGAAAAAGAGGTGTTTGATTGTCTCATTATGAGTACAAAATCTACACTTCTTACCTCTTTGCCAATTTCGACGGTGAAGTTGTCTTTGGTTAGCGCAACTCCTACCAGAAGATATCAAATGAAGATTTTACCTTTTAGTGGAATATTTGGCTCAGATTTTGTTGTTATTATCCAATGGGACCTTAGAATGCGTGAGTGCATCGTTATTTTGCAAACTACTTTTGTTTTCCATGAAAAATCGCAGGTAACCGACAAACATATAGATTAATTGTTGTTATGTTGTTCTTGATTGATAATGGTAAACTGCTCCAAGTGCATCATAAATAAACTTTGTTAGTCCCAATAAAGTTAGAGCATTTCTAATTGATCCCCTATATCTTCTTAGCGGAGTAAATTTGGCTTTTTACTTCACTAAGTTTGACATAGCCGATCCCCTATACGGCTTAGTGGAGTAAAAATTTTACTCCTTCCCTAAAAATCTAAGTATATTTACTCCATCGCTCCTCAGCCGAGTAAAATCGGCGCGTCTTCTCCCCGCCTCCTCTTCTCCCCAAGCACCCCCCGCCCTCCCCGACCCGACATGGTGGCCGCCGGTCCCTGCCGCCGCTACATGCGCGGGTCATCCTTCGCGGGCTCTTCACCCAGCCGTCGTCGCCGGTCGCCCGATCCGTGCCGCCGCGTCCCTTTGCCAGTTCGAGGACTTCCCCGTCCTCCTTCCTCCACGGCCGCCGACGAGGACCTACCTCACGGTCCGGCAGTGGCATTGCGGGACGTGGGTGGCCAAAATCATGGATCGGGAGACCCACACCAAGCGGTGGCTCGGGACCTCCCACACGGCCGAGCTCGCGGCCATGGAGTACGACCGATGGCAGGTCCGCTTCCACGGTGTGGTGGCTTGGCTCAATTTCCCTTCGAGCACACGTTCGGTCCACCTCGTCCCTCCGGAGCTGGGGGTGGTGAGCTCGGCTAGGGCATAGGAGGACTGATGTCTACTACACAACCTTCTTCTTGTAGACGTTGTTGGGCCTCCAAGTGCAGAGCTTTGTAGGACAGTAGCAAATTTCTCCTAAGTGGATGACCTAAGGTTTATCAATCCGTGGAAGGCGTAGGATGAAGATGGTCTCTCTCAAACAACCCCGCAACCAAATAACAAAGAGTCTCTTATGTCTCCAACACACCTAATACAATGATAAATTGTATAGGTGCACTAGTTCGGCGAAGAGATGGTGATACAAGTGCAATATGAATGATAGATATAGGTTTCTGTAATCCGAAAATATAAAAATAGCAAGGTAACTAATGATAAAAGTGAGCGTAAACGGTATTGCAATGCTAGGAAACAAGGCCTAGGGTTCATACTTTCACTAGTGCAAGTTATCTCAACAATAATAACATAATTGGATCATATAACTATCCCTCAATATGCAACAAAGAGTCACTCCAAAGTCACTAATAGTGGAGAACAAACAAAGAGATTATGGTAGGAGACGAAACCACCTCAAAGTTATCCTTTCTGCTCGATCTATTCAAGAGTCCGTAGTAGAATAACACAAAGCTATTCTTTCCGTTCGATCTATCATAGAGTTCGTACTAGAATAACACCTTAAGAAACAAATCAACCAAAACCCTAATGTCACCTAGATACTCCATTGTCACCTCAAGTATCCGTGGGCATGATTATACGATATGCATCACACAATCTCAGATTCATCTATTCAAACCAACACAAAGTACTTCAAAGAGTGCCCCAAAGTTTCTACCGGAAATTCAAGACGAGAACATGTGCCAACCCCTATGCATAGATTCATTGAACCCGCAAGTTGATCACCAAAACATACATCAAGTAGATCACATGATATCCCATTGTCACCACAGATATGCACATGCAAGACATACATCATGTGTTCTCAAATCCTTAAAGACTCAATCCGATAAGACAACTTTAAAGGGAAAACTCAATCCATTACAAGAGAGTAGAGGGGGAGAAACATCATAAGATCCAACTATAATAGCAAAGCTCGCGATACATCAAGATAGTATCATCTCAAGAACACGAAAGAGAGAGATCAAACACATAGCTACTGGTACATACTGAAAGTGCAACTATCCCTAGGTGGTTTTGGTAATTCATAACAACATATAGCTCATTGAGCTAATGCTATTCCAAGACTATTATTTCAGGAAAGCTCAATGAATGGATGGCATGGATGATGGAAGTGGATCCCTCAAAATACTAAGGACAAAGGATTGGCTCAAGCTCAAAAGCTCAAGACTCTTCATTTTATATTTTAGTGATCCAAGATCACATTGAGTCTATAGGAAAAGCCAATACTATCAAGGAGGGATGAGGTGTTGCTTAATGAGCCTCTTGCTTCATGTGCTTTGTGATATGCTCCAAAACCCTCAACTACTTTCCCACATCCACAAATGACCTAAACCCAAAGTCAAAATCGGTCACACCGATTCTTCCTATACGGCGCCACCGATTCTAAAAGTCATAGCCACTGCCACAAACCCTAAGCAAATCGGTCTTACCGATAGGGATCTCGGTCTCACCGAGATGGGGTTGTAATCTCTCTATTTCCCTTCGTAACGTTTCGGTCTAACCGAAGTGAGCGATCGGTCCCACCGAGATTGCAATGTAAACTCTCTGTTTCCTTTTTGTAACATTTCGGTCTCACCGAAAAGAGCAAATCGGTCCCACCGAGTTTACCTGACCAACTCTCTGGAAAGCTTATTACCAAATCGGTCTCACCGAGTTTGTGTAATCGGTCTTACCGAGATTACGTTATGCCCTAACCCTAACCGAATCGGTCTCACCGAGATGCATGTCAGTCCCACCAAAAATCACTAACGGTCACTAGGTTTACTAAATCGGTCCGACCGAGTTTAACGATTCGGTCCCACCGAGTTTGGTAAATTGTGTGTAACGGTTAGATTTTGTGTGGAGGCTATATATACCCCTCCACCTCCTCTTCATTCGTGGAGAGAGCCATCAGAACGAACCTACACTTCCAACTTACCATTTCTGAGAGAGAACTACCTACTCATGTGTTGAGGCCAAGATATTCCATTCCTATCATATGAATCTTGATCTCTAGCCTTCCCCAAGTTGCTTTCCACTCAAATCTTCTTTCCACCAGATCCAGAACCTATGAGAGCGAGTTGAGTGTTGGGGAGACTATCATTTGAAGCACAAGAGCAAGGAGCTCATCATCAACGCACCATTTGTTACTTCTTGGAGAGTGGTGTCTCCTAGATAGGCTAGGTGTCACTTGGGAGCCTCCGACAAGATTGTGGAGTTGAACCAAGGAGTTTGTAAGGGCAAGGAGATCGCCTACTTCGTGAAGATCTACCGCTAGTGAGGCAACTCCTTCGAGGGCGACGGCCATGGTGGGATAGACAAGGTTGCTACTTCGTGGACCCTTCGTGGATGGAGCCCTCCGTGGACTCGCGCAGCCGTTACCCTTCATGGGTTGAAGTCTTCATCAACGTGGATGTACGATAGCACCACCTATCGGAACCACGCCAAAAACATCCGTGTCTCCAATTGCGCTTGAATCCTCCAAACCCTTCCCTTTACTTTCTTGCAAGTTGCATGCTTTAATTTCTGCTGCTTATATACTCTTTGCATGCTTGCTTGAATTGTGTGATGATTGCTTGACTTGTCCTAAAGTAGCTAAAATCTACCAAACTCTAAAATTGGGAATAGCTTAAGTTTTTATTGGTCAAGTAGTCTAATCACCCCCCCCCTCTAGACATACTTCAAGGTCCTACAAGTGGTATCAGAGCTTTGGTCTCCATTTGCTTTGATTTCCATAGCTTTTGGTGGTCATAGCCTTGGTTTCACAACCTAGGAGAGTATGGCATCTAGCGAGGGAAATTATCACCGTAGAGGTCCTTACTTTGATGGTACTAATTTTGCTAGTTGGAAGCATAAGATGAAAATGTATATTCTTGGACATAACCCCGCCGTTTGGGCAATTATTTGTATTGGCTTGCAAGGTGAATTTTTCGATGGGAGAGAACCGAACCGTGAAGCTAATGCAGAAGAATTGAAGATGCCGCAATACAACGCTCAAGCATGCGATATCATCTTCAACGGATTGTGCCCCGAAGAATTCAACAAAATCAGCCGTCTTGAGAATGCAGAGGAAATTTGGGATACTTTGATTGATATGCATGAAGGTACCGAGTCCGTCAAGGAATCCAAGTTGGATGTGCTCCAAAGTCAGCTTGACAAGTTCAAAATGAAGGATGGTGAAGGTGTCGCTGAAATGTACTCTAGGCTTGCTCTTATCACAAATGAG